GAGGGAAGGATGAAAGGGTGGAGGAGAATGGAAAAGAGGGAGGGAAGGAGGAAGGAAAGAGAGAAGGAAGGAAGAGAGAGAGAGGGGGGGCCTTGAGAGAAGAGCCCAAGGGGGGCCACATTTGGCCCCTTGGTTTGCCCATTCCTGGTTCAATGACGTCATCTAGGGGAGTGCTGATGATGAGACCTCGTTGGGGCCCCAATTAAGCCGCACCGTATTGCAAACCTTTCACGCCATACCTTGTGTCCCCTTGCATGTCATTGTGGCAATTTATGTGCCTTTGCACCTCTTCTTCTGTGCCAATTGTTATGAGAAGTTATGTTTGTATTTCTTTCAAAGAGGTGGCTTGCTTTAAACCTCCGCTTTTCGGCGCATCTCATGTATGTTTCCCTCATACCTGTCCGACAGAATGGGGGACAATGCCTGGCTCGAGAGCAGGACGTGTGAAAAAGATCTTGGAGTCCTCGTGGACAACAAGTTAAACATGAGCCAGGAATGTGATGCGGCGGCAAAAAAAGCCAATGGGATTTTGGCCTGCATCAAGAGGAGCATAGTGTCTAGATCCAAGGAAGTAATGCTTCCCATGCTCTATTCTGCTTTGGTTAGACCACTTTACCTGGAATATTGTGTCCAATTCTGGGCACCACAATTCAAGAGAGATATCGAAAAGCTGGAATGTGTCCAGAGGAGGGCGACTAAAATGATCAAGGGTCTGGAGAACAAGCCCTATGAGGAGCGGCTTAAGGAGCTGGGCATGTTTAGCCTGAAGAAGAGAAGGCTGAGAGGAGACATGATGAAGGCCATGTATAAATATGTGAGAGGAAGCCACAGGGAGGAGGAGGAGGGAGCAAGCTTGTTTTCTGCTTCCTTGGAGACTAGGACGCAAGGGAACAATGGCTTCAAACTACAAGAAAAGAAGGAGATTCCATCTGAACATGAGGAAGAACTTCCTGACTGTGAGAGCCGTTCAGCAGTGGAACTCTCTGCCCCGGAGTGTGGTGGTGGCTCCTTCTTTGGAGGCTTTGAAACAGAGGCTGGATGGCCATCTGTCAGGGGTGCTTTGAATGCAATATTCCTGCTTCTTGGCAGAATGGGGTTGGACTGGATGATGGCCCAGGAGGTCTCTTGAACTCTTTGATTCTATGATTCTATGACTTTGTTTCGTCCACAGGTGGGTCATTAGCCAAATTGGCGTATTATTCGACGGTGCAACATAAAGTGGCCCGCGTGCGCTCTTTTGATCAGACCGGGAAGGTAAGGCGGCGCTTTCGGTGTCCTTTGACGTTGCTCGAGTACAATGGTATTGAAATGGAGGAGAGTGAGATCGCAATTGTAATTAATCCTCTGGTTTGATCTGGAAGAGGCAAGCTTGTTTTCTGCTAGAGATTCCACCTAAACATTGGGAAGAACTTCCTGGGAGTAAGAGCTGAGCAACAGTTGGACTGCTGCAACGTTATTATTAGGGCTGGGCGGTTTCGTTCGTTAATTTCGTAATTCGTTATTAATTCGTTATTTTTTTGTTTTTATAACGAAGCGATATTGAACCATTCAGGAGCAACTAAAAAACGAAACGAATTTTTCCAATTCGTTTCGTAATTGTTTCGTTATTGGTTCGAAATCGGTTTGAAATCGTTTCGTTATTATTTCCGCATGTCTGGGGCAAGTTGTATGGTTGTTGTTTGTTTAATTGTGAAAAAAATATATAATTATCACACCCACAGTCAACAACAGAGGGAGAGGGAAGCTTCAGAAGTCCCTCCTCTCCCATTTGGAGGTTTTTTTAGCGTATTGCGCGATCGCGTCCGCCATTAACGAATCGATTCGTAATTAGGTTCTTGTGGGTTTTTTCGGGCTATAGAGCCATGTTCTAGAGGCATTTCTCCTGACGTTTCGCCTGCATCTATGGCAAGCATCCTCAGAGGTAGTATCCTCACTACCTCTGAGGATGCTTGCCATAGATGCAGGCGAAACGTCAGGAGAAATGCCTCTAGAACATGGCCATATAGCCCGAAAAAAACCTACAACAACCCAGTCAGGGACATCTAATCCCCTCTCAACATAAGATTGCTCCAGGCACTGTCAGGCCATTGAATGCTAATCAAGGTGATCAGCTGAAACATTCCCACCTAGCCTCTAGAACATGGCTCTATAGCCCGAAAAAACCCACAAGAACCTAGTGAGTCCAGCCATGAAAGCCTTCGACAATTCATTGATTCGTAATTGTTTCGTATTTGTTTCGTAATTTCCAAAATTTCGTAAATTTCGAACTTTTTTTTAAGGAAAATTTCGGAATTCTTTTACAAATCGAAAAGCAAAAAACCCCAAAAAACGAATCGAGTTTAGAAACAAATTTTTCCGTGGTTGCACAGCCCTTATTATTATTATTATTATTATTATTATTTAAGCCATCCCAAGTCCCCTTGGGGAGATGGTGGCGGGGTATAAATAAAGTTGTTGTTATTATTATTATTATTATTATTACTACTATGTGTTTTAATTGTAATCTTGGGCGTGTCCGTTGCAAGCCGCTCCAAGTCCCTTGGCGATAAATAAAGTTGTTATTATTATTATTATTATTATTATTAGAAACACAACAAGATGAGTCCACAGCAGACACTCTGCTGGCTGTTGAATTGGATCTATTATTATTTATTTATTTATTTAGAAGTTTTCTATACCGGCCTTCTCACCTCGACGAGGGACTCGGGTCGGTTTACAGCATATATAAAATACAATCATATAAAGAACAACAAGTGCAAAGTCATTACATATTAAAATAGTACAATACAGTACAATAAAAACGTCATCATTACATTTACCTAAGCCAAATCGTCAATCCAGTCCCGGTCATAGTCATACTCGTAGTCACAGTTCATCATAATTCAACACAGGGAGAGGTTCTAGGTTCACTCCTCAAATGCCACATTCCAGAGCCAGGTCTTTAGTAATTTCCTGAAAGTCAGGAGGGAGGGAGCAGATCTGATCTCTAGTGGGAGGGAGTTCCAAAGCCGGGGAGCCACCACCGAGAAGGCCCTGTCCCTTGTCCCCACCAACCGTGATTGCGAGGGTGGTGGGACCCGAGAGCAGCCCCCCCCCCCCACCGGAAGATCTTAATAGCCTTGATGGTTCATAGGGGAGAATCCGTTCGGACAGGTAAACTGGGCCAGAGTTGTTTAGGGCTTTGTAGGTCAGAACCAGCACTTTGAATTGTGCCCGGAAGCTGATCGGCAGCCAGTGGAGCTGGCGTAACAGAGGGGTCGTATGGTCTCTGTACCCTGCTCCTGTTAGCAGTCTGGCTGCCGCTCCTTGGACTGATTGAAGCTTCCGGGCAGTCTTCAGAGGCAATCCCACGTAGAGAGCGTTGCAGTAGTCTAAACGGGATGTAACCAGAGCGTTGACTACCGTGGCCAAGTCAGACTTCCCAAGGTACGGGCACAGCTGGTGCACAAGTTTTAGTTGTGCAAAATCTCCCCTGACCACTGCCGAGACCTGGGATTCCAGGCTCAGCGATGAGTCCAGGGTCACACCCAAGATGCGAGCTTGCGCCTTCAGGGGGAGTGCAATTATTATTATTATTATTATTATTATTATTATTACTATTATTATTATTAGAAACACAACAAGATGAGTCCACAGTAGACAGGATCACTCTGCTGCTTGTTGTACATTATTATTATTATTATTATTATTATTATTATTATTATTATTATTATTATTATTAGAAACACAACAAGATGAGTCCACAGCAGACAAGATCACTGCTGGCTGTTGTCCTTTTTATTGTTGTTGTTGTTGTTGTTGTTGTTAGAAAAACAACAAAACGAGTCCACAGTAGACAAGATCACTCTCCTGGCTGTTGTACATTATTATTATTATTATTATTATTATTATTATTATTATTATTATTATTATTATTATTATATGAATATATAATTAAATATAAATCTAATATTACACCACGTAAAAAAAATTGAAAAGGAAATCTGTTCCTGGTTTGAAAGTGTTATTTCCTGTTGAATTGTGCGGTCCTTACTTTGGAAGTAGCTGTTGTGTTCCATGAACTTTGTTTGGTGTTGAGACGTGAAGCGTGTTGCGAGATGTCCCTCCCGTAAGAACAGAGTTCCCCGTGTCTTTAGCTCCCCTGTGAGGAAAGGAAGGGCCTTTGTGACCCAGGGGCGAAACCCTTTCTCTTTTGGGTTCTTGGCTGCCTTGTCTTTGTTGCTCCTCCAAAAGGACCTGGAACCCGAATCGCCGTACGAGATCACCGTCCAGGAGGAGATCACGGCGCGGCTGCACTTCATTAAGTTCGAGAACACGTACATCGAGACTTGCCTGGACTTCATCAAGGACCACCTGGTCAACACGGAAACGAAAGTCATCAAAGCCACCGGAGGCGGCGCCTACAAGTTCAAAGACCTCATTGAGAGGAAGCTGGGACTGAAGTAAGCGGGAAAGGAGGGCCGGGAGGAAAGCGCCCTGGGTGCAACTCAGTCTGACCCAGGCGTGGGCAAACTCCAGGACAAAAAACCAGGACATAAAGTGGGTCATGGGGGGGGAGCACTTCCACAGGCCACTGCGACCCCCACCAATGATGGACCTGGACCAAACTTGGCACACAGACCCCACCCCCCCGACCCACTTTATATCCTGTTGCAGATAGGGGGAGAATGGACCTAAAAGCCAGTAGGCCAATAGGAATTGTGGGAGTTGAAGTCCAAAACACCTGGAGGGCCGAGGTTTGCCCATGCCTGTTCTAAACTCATAATACCAAACCGCATCAGTGTTGTGCGTGATCACTGGCACCTTTTACCGACAATAAGCAAAGCACCATGATTCAAATTTGCAGAGTGTGTATGTTTCCAAATACTATTCCTGGAAAATATTTCCAGCTGAAATATTTTCCAGGAATAATATTTGGGAACATACACACTCTGAAAATATGAATCACGGTGCTTTGGTCATTGTCTCAAAGGAAGAACTGGATGGAACGTTTCGGGGTCTCGCTTGCGAAGAACCCCGACCTATTTGTGTGCGGAAAACATGGATCTCTGTGACTAATGGTAGAACAAGGAAGCCCTGACTCGTGTCTTCTCTCTCTTTAGGTTAGATAAAGAAGATGTCATGACTTGCTTAATTAAGGGGTGTAACTTTGTGCTCAAGAACATCCCCAACGAGGCGTTTGTGTACATGAAGGACGCGGACCCCGAGTTCCGGTTCCAGATGAACCACCCACACATTTTCCCCTATTTGCTGGTTAATATTGGTTCCGGGGTGTCTATCGTGAAGGTGGGTCAACGTCCATTTACTATTGCTATTATTACTGTGGTTGGGTTGCTGTGAGTTTTCCGGGCTGCATGGCCATGTTCCAGAAGCATTCTCTCCTGTCATTTCACCCACAACTATGACAGGCATCCTCAGAGCTTGTGAGTTTGACAACACATTGTTGTTGTTGTTGTTAGTCATCATTTCTATTATTTGTATTATTGCAAATCTGTTTTGGTCTCTTCCAAATCTATAATTCTATGTTGTTATTATTACTATTATTATTGAGGGGGCTTCTCTATCATTCTAAATAATATTGATATTCATAATGAACAGACCTCATGTTCTTTTCCAGCTGTATTATTCTATATAGTGATGATGATGATGATGATTATGATGACGACGACAACTTTTGGCCCCTCTATGATTGATTGTTGTTGTTGTTGTTGTTGTTGATGTTGTTGGGAACTCCTGGTCAACTCCAACTTTCTGCTTCAATATTATTATTATTATCATTATTATCTATATAAATAAAAATGTAATGTTAGTTTGTGGGATTAACAGAACTAAAAAACCACTGGACGAATTGACACCAAGTTTGGACACAAGACACCCAACAACCCAATGTATGTCCGTCATTCAAAAAATTGATGTTGTCATTTGGGAGTTGTAGTTCACCTACATCCCGACAGCACCGTGGACTCAAACAATGATGGATCTGGACCAATCTTGGCACAAGCACTCAATACGCCCAAATATCAACACAGATGGAGTTTGGGGGAAATAGACCTTGACATTTGGGAGTTGTAGCTGCTGGGATTTATAGTTCACCTACAATCAAAGAACATTCTGAACCCCACCAACGATGCAATTGAACCAATCTTGGCACACAGAACTCCCATGACCAACAGAAAATACCGGAAGGGTTTGGTGGGCAGTGTCCTTTGGTTTTGGAGTTGTAGTGCACCTATATCAAGAGATCACTGTGGACTCAAACAATGATGGATCTGGACCAAACTCTACACAAATACTCAATGTGTCCAAATGTGAACACTGGTGGAGTTTGGGGAAAATAGAATCTTGACATTGGGGAGTTGTAGCTGCTGGGATTTATAGTTCACCTACAATCGAAAAGCATTCTGAACCCCACCCCTGATAGAATTGGGCCAAACCTCCCACACAGAACCCCCATGAGGGCCACGGCAACGTGTGGCAGGGGACGGCTAGTTGTTATTAATAATAATAATAATAATAATAATAATAATAATAATAATTATTATTATTATATTAGACAGGCAACAAGATTAGTACCAGCAAACAAGATCACTGCTGGCTTTTGTATTCACACGTCAGGCACATCCCAAGTGTCTCAGATTGTGTGATGTATCGGCGAATAATGCATACAGATCCGAGTAGGGTGGCCTTTTGCAACTCACAGATGGTAATTTAATCCGTACTGATTGTTTTCAAGTGCCTATATTTCTAAATAATAATAATAATAATGAACATGTGAAAACTGTGGTCAGCAAAGAATACATTCAAAGGGTCAGAAAAATTCTCAAAAGCAAGCTCAATGGAGGCAACACCATCAGGGCCATACCTGTCATAAGATATACCGCTGGCATCATAAACTGGACACAGGCAGGACTGGACAATTTGGACAGAAAAACAGCGTCAGTAAAATAATAGTAATAATAATACTAATACTAATAATAATACATCACACAGTCCTAGATGCTGGGAAGTGTTTGACTTGTGATTTTGTGATACGAAATCCAGCATCTAGATCTCGTTTGCTGTGACATACGGTGCTTTTGTGTCAATGATGATGATGAATGGTTCTCATGTTCTTTTCCATGTTTGATTATATATGGTGATGATGATGATGATGATGATGATGATGATGACTGGGTGGCCCTTTTGGTCATTCTATGATTCTGTTGTTGCTGCTGTTGTTGTTATTAATTGGAGTGTAGTCCACCCCACTTCTTCTTCTTCTTCTTCATTATTATTATTATTATTATTATTATTGCCATTATTATTTTATTGAATGGGCTGCCTATGATCCCGTGTTCCCCATGCAAGCCTATACATCCTCCCATGGCCCATGTTGTGCCCATGTTCTATATTGCCTTTCTCCCCATAGGGACCCATGGCAGCTATCAAGCACAGAACATTAAAACTGACATAAACACAAAAACATTTAAAACGTGTGTGGATATAAAGTCAAAAGACCAGAAGTACAATTTAAATTACATTCAAAGTTTGCTTAAGAGTTGGCTTGTCCAATGCATAATAACCACCGTTATTGACCTTTGCTAATTGCCTTTGCTAGGTGGAAACAGAAGATAAGTTTGAATGGATTGGCGGCAGTTCAATTGGTGGCGGCACGTTTTGGGGCCTTGGAGCGTTGCTTACGAAAACAAAGGTAAGACCAGAAGGGACTCCTTCATGGCGCTGTTTCTCTGCGCATAGAGTTCTTTGCTACCCTTATTTTTTATTTTTAGTGCTTTTTAATTTGTGGTTTTTAGTTTTGAATATGTTTTTATGGTTTTTAACTCAATTGCTTTTTTTTCAATACTAAGGCTATTCAATTCTGTTTTAATCTTTGTATACTTGTATATTTTAAAATTGTATTGAATGCTTTTATCTCCTTGTGGGGAGAAAAAGTGGGATACGAATAAGCATTGTTGTTGTTGTCGTTGTTGTTGTTGTTGTTGTTGTTGTTGTTATTATTATTATTTGGGGGTGGAGAAGTTATGCAATATATGAATTATCACCTGAAGCAATGATGATGACGCAGTGGCTCTTTTGATCTCTATTATTTACGTTTATTTATTTACTTTATTTGTATACCGCTCTTCTCAGCCAATTAGGCAACTCAGAGCGGTTAACAACAAGTAGCGGCAAAAAATTCAATACAAACATCATACAGCCATTTAAAAGACAGTTAACACAATAATACAATAAGCAATTAACATCAATAGCCATCAATAACATCAATAAACAACATACTGGCGTCTCATAACTAAAGTCATAATCCAAGCTCGTCATCCGTTGTACCGATTTCCTATAATTCATTGTAATTCGTTGCACTGCCTATTCAAACGCCTGTTCGAATAACCAGGTTTTTACTTTCTTCCGAAATGCCATTAATGAGGGAGCTAATCTGATGTCTGTGGGCAGGGCGTTCCACAGCCGAGGGGCCACTACCGAGAAGGCCCTGTCCCTCGTCCCCGCCAACCTATGATTTTATGTTGCTACTAGCCGTCCCCTGCCATGCGTTGCTGTGGCCCACATGGGGGTTCTGTGTGGGAAGTTTGCCCCAGTTCTGTTTTTGGTGGGGTTCAGAACGCTCTTTGATTGTAGGTGAACTATAAATCCCAGCAACTACAACTCCCAAATGTCGTCTATTTCCCCCAAACTCCATCTGTGTTCATATTTCGGCATATGGAGTATTTGTGCCAAGTTTGGTCCAGATCCATCATTGTTTGAGTCCACAGTGCTCCCTGGATGTAGGTGAACTACAACTCCAAAACTCAACATCAACACCCACAAAACCCTTCCAGTATTTTCCATTGGTCATGGGAGAACTGTGTGCCAAGTTTGGATCAATTTCATCGTAGGTGGGGATCAGAATGCTGTCTGATTGTAGATGGACTATAAATCCCAGCAACTACAACTCCCAAATGAGAAAATCAATTTTTTTGAGTGAAGGATTGTTAGGTGTCTTGTGTCCAAATTTGGTGTCAATTTGTCCAGTGGATTTTGTGTTCTGTTAATCCCACAAACACACATTCCATTTTTTTATATAGATTGTTATTATTATTATTATTATTTATTGTGTCAGAAGCAAACTGAGGGTACAGTTGTAAAATATTTAAAAACACAAAGTTAAAAACTTGGCCTCATACTGAATGTCCTTTGACTGGTTTCTGGCCACTTGGAGTGCCTCTGGTGTTGCTATAAGAAGGTCCTCCATGGTGCACCTGGCAGGAGTATCTCATTCTGTATCAGCCATGGGTTGAGGGTCCGGGTTTTAGACTGCCACTTTTGGACTCTCTCTTGCTGAGGTGTTCCTGGGAGTATCTCTGTAGATCTTAGGAAGCTATTTCTTGATTTAAGGCATTGGCACACTGACTGATATCCAAACAGAGGATGGCTGGAGATGTCAGTACCTTGGTCCTTTCATTATTGGCTCCTACTTCCCAATGGATGTCAGGTGGTGCAATACCGGCTCAACAGTATAATCTCTTCAGCGGCGTACAGCATAGACACCCCGTGATAATGCGGCATGTTTCATTAAGGGCCACATCTACTGTTTTAGCGTGGTGAGATGTGTTCCACACTGGGCATGCAGACTCAGCAGCAGAGTAGCACAGCGCAAGGGCAGATGTCTTCACTGTGTCTGGTTGTGATCCCCAGGTTGTTCCAGTCAGCTTTTGTATGATATTGTTTCTTGCACCCACTTTTTGACTAATATTCAAGCAGTGCTTCTTGAAAGTCAGAGCACGGCCCAGGGTAACTCCCAGGTATTTGGGTGTGCTGCAACGCTCCAGTGGGATTCCTTCCAAGGTCATCCTCAGAGCTCGGGATGCTTGTCTGTTCTTAAGATGAAAAGCACACATCTGCATTTTAGATGGATTAAGAACCAGCTGTTTCCCCCTGTAATAGGCAGTAAGAGTACCTAAAGCTTCATAGTACTTCTGTTCAACCATTTCAAAGCTCCCTGCTTGGGTGGTGATGGCACGGTCATCAGCATAGATGGAACACTCCGTCCCTTCTGGCAGCGGCTGATCATTTATGTAAATGTTAAACTTTGAGGGCGCAAGCTTTAGAGAGCTTTCTTCAACCATCTCAAAGCTCCCTGCTTGGGTGGTGATGGCATGATCGTCGGCATAGATGGAACACTGTCCCTTCTGTCAGTGGCTGGTCATTTGTGAAAATGTTAAACTTTGATGGCACAAGCTTTGGAGAGCTTCTCTTCAACCATCTCAAAGCTCCCTGTTTCGGCGGTGATGGCATGATCGTCAGCATAGATGGAAGTCTCTGTCCCTTCTGGCAGTGGCTGGTCACTTGTGTAAATGTTAAATTTTAATGGAGCAAGCTTTGGAGAGCTTCTCTTCAACCATCTTAAAGCTCCCTGCTTGGGTGGTGATGGCCTGATTGTCAGCATAGATGGAAGTCGCTGTCCCTTCTGGCAGTGGCTGGTAACTTGTGAAAATGTTAAACATTGATGGAGCAAGCTTTGGAGAGCTTCTGTTCTACCATCACAAAGCTCCCTGCTTGGGTGGTGATGGCACGATCATCAGCATAGATGGAACTCTCTGTCCCTTCTGGCAGTGGCTGGTCATTTGTGTAATTGTTAAACTTTGATGGAGCAAGCTTTAGAGAGCTTCTCTTCAACCGTCTTAAAGCTCCCTGCTTGGGTGGTGATGGCATGATCGTCAGCATAGATGGAAGTCTCTGTCCCTTCTGGCAGTGGCTGGTCACTTGTGTAAATGTTAAACATTGATGGAGCAAGCTTTGGAGAGCTTCTCTTCTACCATCACAAAGCTCCCTGCTTGGGTGGTGATGGCACGATCATCAGCATAGATGGAACTCTCTGTTATTTCTAGCAGTGGCTGGTCACTTGTGTAAATGTTAAACATTGATGGAGCAAGCTTTGGAGAGCTTCTCTTCAACCATCTCAAAGCTCCCTGCTTGGGTGGTGATGGCATGATCGTCGGCATAGATGGAACACTGTCCCTTCTGGCAGTGGCTGGTCACTTGTGTAAATTTTAAACTTTAATGGAGCAAGCTTTAGAGAGCTTTCTTCAACCATCTCAAAGCTCCCTGCTTGGGTGGTGATGGCATGATTGTCTGCATAGATGGAAGTCTCTGTCCCTTCTGTCAGTGGCTGGTAACTTGTGAAAATGTTAAACATTGATGGAGCAAGCTTTGGAGAGCTTCTGTTCTACCATCACAAAGCTCCCTGCTTGGGTGGTGATGGCACGATCATCAGCATAGATGAAACTCTCTGTCCCTTCTGACAGTGGCTGGTCATTTGTGTAAATGTTAAACATTGATGGAGCAAGCTTTGGAGAGCTTCTCTTCAACCATCTCAAAGCTCCCTGCTTGGGTGGTGATGGCATGATCGTCGGCATAGATGGAACACTGTCCCTTCTGTCAGTGGCTGGTCACTTGTGTAAATTTTAAACTTTAATGGAGCAAGCTTTAGAGAGCTTTCTTCAACCATCTCTAAGCTCCCTGCTTGGGTGGTGATGGCATGATTGTCTGCATAGATGGAAGTCTCTGTCCCTTCTGTCAGTGGCTGGTCACTTGTGAAAATGTTAAACATTGATGGAGCAAGCTTTGGAGAGCTTCTCTTCTACCATCACAAAGCTCCCTGCTTGGGTGGTGATGGCACGATCATCAGCATAGATGAAACTCTCTGTTATTTCTGGCAGTGGCTGGACACTTGCGTAAGTGTTAAACATGGATGGAGCGAGCACACTGCCCTTCTGTGTGGTGGTGGTGGTAATGATGGTGATGACCGAGTGGCCCTTTTGGCCTCTCTGTGATTTTATCTTGTTGTTATTATTGTTATTACTAATGGGACGACCCGGCGCACTCCATCTCTCTGCTTCGCCTGAAACAGCATGTTGATATCAATTGTTGGCCTATTTCTATTGCAAGGAAGGTGGCGGCGATCTCCATGTCTGTTGGTGTGAATTGCAGAGTGGACTGGGATTGATTTATCCGTCACAAGTCTTTCGTTTCGTTTCAGAAGTTTGACGAGCTGCTGCATCTCGCTTCGAAGGGTCAGCACACCAATGTGGACATGCTGGTGAAGGACGTCTATGGCGGGGCCTACCAGACCCTTGGGTTGAGCGGGAATCTCATTGCCAGCAGTTTTGGGAAATCTGCCACCGCAGACAAAGGTAACAACCACCAGAGGTGCTCCGTTTTATGATGCTGAAGAGTCGACAACCTCTCCCTGCCACCCAGCGCACGTTTATTATTCATTCATTCATTCATTTATTTATTTCAAAGTTTTCTATACCGAACTTCTCAACCTCATTGAGGGACTCAGCCCGGTTCCCAACCATAAAAACATACACACTCATTAAAATATCATATGTCACAATTACAATAACAGCTTTAAAATAACACTTAGGGCTGGGCAGTTTCGTTCGTTAATTTTGTAATTCGTTATTAATTCGTTATTTTTTTGATAACGAAGCGATATTGAACCATTCAGGAGCAACTAAAAAACGAAACGAGTTTTTTCAATCCGTTTCGTAATTGTTTCGTTATTGTCTCGAAATCGATTCGTAATTGATTCGAAATCGTTTCGTTATTATTTCCGCATGTCTGGTGCAAGTTTTAGGGTTGCTGTTTGCTTTCTCAGTGAAAAAAAATTAAATTATCACACCCACAGTCAACAACGGAGGGAGAGGGAAGCTTCCTGTCCCATTTGGAGGTTTTTTTAGCGTATTGCGCGATCGCGCCCGCCATTAACGAATCGATTCGTAATTGTCTCGAAATCGATTCGTAATTGATTCGTAATTTACAAAATTTCGTAAATAACGAAAAAATTTTAAGGAAAATTTCGGAATTCTTTTAAAAATCGAAACGCAAAAACCCCCTAAAAACGAATCGAGTTTAGAAACAAATTTTTCCGTGGTTGCCCAGCCCTAAACACTATGTATAAAACTACGGTGGTCAGTCATCATATTAAAAACAGATCTACATCATCTTCCATCCAGAATCCTAGGGTGTTGTCTCCACAGCCACGTCTTCACCCATTTCCTAAATGTTAGGATGGATGGGGCGGTTCTGGCCTACAGAGGGAGAGAGTCCCAGAGTCGAGGGGCCACCACCGAGAAGGCCCTGTCCCTCGTCCCCACCAGCCGTGCTTGTGCAGGCGGTGGGACTGAGAGCAGGGCCCCTCCAGACGATCTTAGTGGTCTTGATGGTTTGTAGGGGAGAATACGTTCGGAGAGGTAAACAGGGCCGGAGTCGTTTAGGGCTTTATAGGTTAACACCAGCACTTTGAATTGTGCTCGGAAGCTAATTGGCAGCCAGTGGAGCTGGCGTAACAGAGGAGTGGTGTGCTCCCTGTACCCAGCACCCGTTAGTAGTCTGGCTGCCGAGCGTTGGACTAGCTGCAGCTTCCGGGCAGTCTTCAGAGGCAACCCCACGTAGAGAGCGTTGCAGTAGTCTAAACGGGATGTAACCAAAGCGTGGACCACCGTGGCCAAGTCAGACTTCCCAAGGTACGGGCGCAGCTGGCGCACAAGTTTTAGTTGTGCAAAAGCTCCCCTGACCACCGCCGAAACCTGGGGCTCCAGGCTCAGCGATGAGTCCAGGATCACTCCCAGACTGCGAACCTGCGTCTTCAGGGGGAGTGTGACCCCGTCCAGCACAGGCTGTAATCCTATAGCCTGTTCGGCCTTACGACTGACCAGGAGGACCTCTGTCTTGTCTGGATTTAGTTTCAATCTGTTGTCCCTCATCCAGTCCGTTACAGCAGCCAAGCACCAGTTCAGGACTTTGACAGCCTCCTTAGTAGCAGGTGGGAAGGAGTGATAGAGTTGGACATCATCTGCGTACAGGTGACACCGTACCCCGAAACTCCGGATGATCTCTCCCAACGGCTTCATGTAGATGTTAAACAACATCGGGGACAGTATTGAGCCCTGCGGGACTCCACAGGACAATGGCCGAGGAGTCGAGCAGGAGTCCCCTAGTGACACCTTCTGGGAGCGACCCTCGAGGAAGGACCGGAGCCACTGCAAGGCAGTACCCCCAAGACCATTGCGTTGCTGGTGTTGTGGTTCAAACAGATGGAGATGAGAGGATTGGGGTTTCAGAGCCTGGGAGAATGGTGGATGGGTCTTTCAATGGGGGAAATGAGGGAGTATCAGAGCAAGGTTCTGCCTGTTAGACGGAGTTTGAAAGTGGAGTCCAGCCAACAGGGAGAGGCCCTTTCGCCCACAAGGAGCTTAGCAACCGCTGATAAAGACCTGGCAGACCAAGATAGCTCATCCGAGGGAACAGCTGGGTTAGACGGGGATATCAGGCTGGGTCTGAGAGAGAAAAATATCAGGTGCAGGAAATCCAAAAGAATCCGCGAGAAAGAAGCTGAAAGAAAGTTTCACAAGCCAGAACCTCGAGGTCAAAGAAATGCCTTCATGTTTTGCAGCCCTTAAATTAGAGAGCATCATCTAGATGAAATTCAGATCAGGCAACACTGCTTAATAGTAAGGATATCAAGTCCTGTTTCCAGTTCAACAAGTTCCTGGGAGTTTTGATTTAATGTTTTAAGAAGTTTCTTATAGCCGTGGTTTTTTGGGATTCATGTTCATGCCTTGATTCTTGTTTCCTTGGATTATGCTCATGTTCGGGGAAAGTATTTAGAGAAATAGAAGATATAATGAATATTAAAATAGAAAGAAGTCCTAGTATAGCTTTATTATCATTATATAATAATAAACAATTGAAAAAAAGAGGATAAAGAAGCGATAACAAATTTATTAACAACTAGCTGTCCCCTGCCAGGCGTTGCTGTGGCCCAGTCTGGTGATCTGGAAAATAAAGTAATGAGAAAGTGTTGGTTTCTAATATATGTCATGTCTTTCTGCTTGTGAGTAAACAGTATTTCTTGTTGTTTCTTTGTCAGTGTTGATGTGGAGAGTGTCCGGTTTGCCTCCTCTGGAATATGCAACCTATCATAGTCCTTCTTTAAGGGTCTCTTTCACATCTATGATACTATATCTCTCTGTGTGTGTGAGAATCATATCTATCTATCTATCTATCTATCTATCTATCTATCTATCTATATTTATGACTGGGTGGCTCTCTGTCAGGAGGGCTCTGATTACATTTTCTTGCCCTGGTGAAGAGAGTTGGACTGGATGGCCTTAAGTATTTTCTGTTGGTCATGAGTGTTCTGTGTAGGAAGTTTGCCCCATTTCTGTCATTTGTGGGTTTCAGAATGCTCTTTGATTGTAGGTGAACTATACATCCCAGTAACTACACATCCCAAATGTCAAGGTCTATTTCCTCCAAACTCCATCTGTGTTCATATTTGGGCATATGGAATATTTGTGTCAAGTTTGGTCCAGATCCATCATTGTTTGAGTCCATAGTGCTCTCTGGATGTGGTGAACTATAATTTCCAAACTCAAGGTCAATGCCCACCAAACCTTTCCAGTTTTTTCTGTTGGTGATGGGAGCCCTGTGTGCTAAGTTCGGCCCAATTCCATCACTGGTGGAGTTCAGAATGCTCTTTGATTGTAGGTAAACTATAAATCCCAGCAACAACAATTCCCAAATTACAAAATTAACGTTTGGAGTGGAGGACATACATTGGACTGTTAGGTGTCTTGTGTCCAAATTTGGTGTCAATTCCCCCCGTGGTTTTTGAGTTCTGTTCATCCCGCAAACGAACATTTCCTTTTTATGTATCTAGATTTAGTCTTCCTATCCCTCCTTTCTCACCCCTGGGAGGACTCTTGGCAGAATGGGATTGGACTGGATGGCCCACGAGGTCTTCCAACTCTATGATTCTGGGAATCCCATAGATCGAACTGCCCTTCCAATCTCTTTCTTTCTTTCTTTCTTTCTAGACTTTTCCAAAGAGGACATGGCCAAAAGCTTGCTGCACATGATCAGCAACGACATTGGGCAGCTGGCCTGCCTCTACGCCAAGCTCCACAACCTCAACAAGATCTATTTCGGGGGGTTCTTCATCCGAGGGCACCCCGTCACCATGCGCACCATCACTTACAGTATTAACTTCTTCTCCAAGGTAACAAAAACGGGATTTTTTTGGGGGGGGGGGTGGAAGTGACTAGAGAATGCAAAGAGGGGGTCGTTTTGAAGGAAGCGTTGTTTATTTATTTACCTTATTTATTTACCTGACTTCTATACGGCTGTTCTCAGCCCGAAGGCGACTCACAGCGGTTCACAACAAATACGAACAGCAAAAATTCAGTGCTACAGTATAGAAACAGTTAACAACCTAACACATTACACAATTAATAAACAGTCACTACAATACCCATTCACTGTCGTCTCGTCATCAAAAACATGATCCAGATTCGTCATCCACTGTTCCATTCCAGTGTTCATTAACCAATCATTGCACTAATTATTCAAACGCCTGCTCAAACAGCCAGGTCTTCACTTTCCTGCGGAATACCATTAGAGATGGTGCTAGTCTAATGTCCGTAGGAAGGGCGTTCCACAGCCGAGGAGCCACCACCGAGAAGGCCCTATCCCTCGTCCCCGCCAGCCGAGCTTGAGAAGCAGGCGGGATCGAGAGCAGGGTCTCTCCAGAAGATCTCAAAGTCCTGGTGGGTTCATAGGCAGAGATGCGGTCGGATAGGTAGCTTGGGCCGGAACCGTTTAGGGCTTTAAAGGCCAACATGCCAGCACTTTGAATTCAGCCCGGTAGCAGATCGGTAGCCAGTGGAGTTGGCGCAACAGGGGGGTTGTATGCTCCCTGCGCTCCGCTCCTGTTAAAATCATGGCTGCCGAGCGTTGGACTAGTTGGAGCTTCCGAGCTGTCTTCAAAGGCAGCCCCACGTAGAGAGCGTTGCAGTAGTCTAAACGGGATGTAACCAGAGCGTGGACCACCGTGGCCAAGTCAGACTTTATGATGAGTAGAGTGGCAGAACTTCCCTGGCTTTAGGGTCAATGCTTTGCACCTTTTTCTTTTGGATCAGAGTCAATAACAGAGTTTTCCACAATTGTGCAATTTTACTCCAACGTACACGATAGATGCTACCAAAAACGGAAGAGATATTCCACAGCTCTTGTGTTTTCTCCTGTGTCAGGGAGACGTCCAGGCGTTGTTCCTGAGGCACGAAGGCTACCTGGGAGCCATCGGGGCGTTCCTGAAAGGAGCAGAAGAAGACAGTAAGTGCCCTGGCCGTATCCTGCCACGGTCTCGTTCGCTGGGTCTCGAATCCACAAATAAAAGGATCCCGCTGCATATGTAAATCGGACACAATTGGAAATGTGTTTGAGCCGAGTCTGCTTTTGAGAGGGGTCAAGGGCAGCCCTTGAGTCCCTGTGACGGGAGGAAGAGGAAGAAAGAAGAAGGGAGAGAAAGAGGATGAAGAAGGAAGGAAGGGAAAAGAAGGAGGAGGAAGAAAGAAGAGAAAAGAAGAAGGAAGAAGAGGAGGAGGGGGAGAAGTCAAAAGAAAGGAGGAGTTTGAGTGGAGAAGGAAGAGAAAATGAGGAAAGAAAGAAAATGAAGTGAGGGAAAGGAGGAGGAGGAAGTGAGGGAGGAAGAAAGAAAGAAAAAAAGAAAGGAGGAGGAGGAAGAAAAGAAGAGGAAGAAGGAAAAGAAGGAAAGAAAGGAGAGGGGAGGGGAAAGAAGGAAGGAAAGGGGAAGAAGAAGAAGGAGAAGTGGAATGGAAAAAGAGGAGGGAAAAGAGAGAAGAGGAAGAAGGAGGAGGAGGAAGAAAGAAGAGGAGAAAAAAAAAAAAAGGGAAAGGAGGAGGGAAGAGGGAAGAAGGAGAGAAAAGGAGAAGGAAGGAAGGAGAGAAGAGAAGGAAGGAGAAAGGGGAAGAAGGAAGGAAAGAAGGAGAGAAGAAAGAAGGAGGAAGGAGGAAAGAGGAAGAAGGAGGAGGAGGAAGAAAAGGGAAGGGAGGAGGGAGGAAGGAACGAAGGAAGGAAGGAGGGAAAAAAGAATGTGGAGAAGAGGAAGGATGAAAGAAGGAGGAAAGAAGGAGGAGGAAAGGAAGGAGAGAAGGAAAAAAGAAAAAGAAAGGCAGAAAGAAGAGAAAGATGGAAGAATAAGGAAAGGGGAGGAAAGAAAGAAAAAGAAGAAGGAGAAAGAAAGAAAAAAATGGAGGAGGAGACTGAAAGGATGAAAGTAGAGAAGGAAGGAAGTAGGAAAGAAAGAAAAGAAAGAAAGAAAGGAGGAGTAAAGAAAGAAGAGGAGGAAGGGAATAAGAAGAAAAGGAGGAGGGGGAGGAAAGAAGGAAGGATGAGACAACAGCGCTGAAAGAAATTTATTTATTTTATTTATTGACAGCTTTTCTATTTGGCCCTTCTCCTCACCCCATAGCAGGGGACTCAGGGCGGATCACAGTGTACACATGCATGGCAAACATTCCATGCCAATTTTTGACATACAACACATATACAGACATACACAGAGGCTATTGAACATTTTTCTGGCCGCCAGGGGAGCTGTCGCTTTCCTCGTCCACCTGCAACGCTGATGAAGCACTTCCGCATTCCCCGCATGCTTCCCCGCTGGAATGCTTTGCCGGAGTCTTCTTTATGGCCTCATAAATCAGTTAATTTAGCCTCCCCACACTTTAAGGTGGTACCTAATTTTCCTACTTGACAGATGCAACTGTCTTTCGGGTTGCAAAGGTCGACAACGGGCTACACACAATTGGTTGGAAACCCACTCCAACCCGGGCTGGCTTCGAACTCATGACCTTTTGGTCAGAGTGATCTTAATGCAGCTGACACTCCGCCAGCTGCGCCACAATCCCGGAGGAGGATGAAAGAAGAAGGAAAGAAAGAAAGAAAAGAAGGAAGAAGAACAAGACAACATGCTTTCTATTTCCGTGGCCTTTCCCACATGTCCTCTCTCTGCCTGTTTCCCTTCCCAGACCCCAATCTCTACAGCTGGGGAGAGAACTACGCCGGCAGCTCCGGCCTCATGAGCAGCTCCTCCCCGGACATCTGCCCCGTCCAGCGAGAAAGAAGCGGCACCGTGAGTCTCCTCGGGGAAGGAGGGGACACATTTCCGGGGGGGGGGGGGGGGGATTTGCTCTCGTAGACTGCCCAAACCCTCAACCCTTGCCCCCCAACCTTTCTCTCTTTCCCCAGTTCGACATGTTGGAAATGGATCGTTTGGAGCGGACGCTGGTGAACCTGCCTTTGCTGAAGGACCCCTCCACTTACGTCCCCGACACCGTGGACCTCACCTACGACGCCATGGCCAGGAAGTATTGGCTCTCGTGCTTCGAGGAGGCTTTGGACGGGGTAAGGGCTCTCCCGTGGTTATCATCCAGCCATTCAGGACATGACACTTATCACCTAGCAACAAAAATTGTGGAATTACAGTTATACAATTATTATTATTATTATTATTATTATTATTATTATTATTATTACCCACTTCTCCTAGCACAGTGTTTCTCAACCTGGGGGTCGCGACCCCTGGGGGGGTCGTGAGGGGGTTTCAGAGGGGTCGCCAAAGACCATCAGAAAACACATATTTCTGATGGTCTTAGGAACCCTTTTGGCAAAAGAATTTATATTATTATTATTATTATTATTATTATTATTATTATTATTACCCACTTCTCCTAGCACAGTGTTTCTCAACCTGGGGGTCGCGACCCCTGGGGGGGTCGCAAGGGGATTTCAGAGGGGTCGCCAAAGACCATCAGAAAATACATATTTCTGATGGTCTTAGGAACCCCTTTGGCAGAGAAATTTATTATTATTATTATTATTATTATTATTATTATTATTATTACCCACTTCTCCTAGCACAGTGTTTCTCAACCTGGGGGTCGCGACCCCTGGGGGGGTCAGAGGGTTTCAGAGGGGTCGCCAAAGACCATCAGAAAATACATATTTCTGATGGTCTTAGGAACCTCTTTGGCAGAGAAATTTATTTATATTATTATTATTATTATTATTACCCACTTCTCCTAGCACAGTGTTTCTCAACCTGGGGGTCGCGACCCCTGGGGGGGTCGCAAGGGGATTTCAGAGGGGTCGCCAAAGACCATCAGAAAATACATATTTCTGATGGTCTTAGGAACCCCTTTGGCAGAGAAATTTATTATTATTATTATTATTATTATTATTATTATTATTATTATTATTATTACCCACTTCTCCTAGCACAGTGTTTCTCAACCTGGGGGTCGCGACCCCTGGGGGGGTCGTGAGGGGGTTTCAGAGGGGTCGCCAAAGACCATCAGAAAAATACATATTTCTGATAGTCTTAGGAACCCCTTTGGCAGAGAATTTATTTATTTACTTACTTACTTACTTATTTATTTATGCCCTTCTCACCCCAAAGGAGCCCCAGAGCAGCTTATAAGATATATACATACATACAATATATTATATTATTAGCATAGCACAATATCAGAATTAAATATCACTATATTGTACTATACCACTATATTGTAATATTATTAGTAATAGTACATGTAATATAAATATATAATTATAATATCATATTATTAGTAGTAGTATTATATTGCATTACATTATATATGTGTGTGTGTGTGTGTGTGTGTGTGTGTGTGTATATATATATATATATATATATATATATATAAAAATTGTAATATTATAAAAGGCTGGAGATCTCTCCTCCAGTCCTTCTCTTCCTTTTTGATGTTGGTGAACTACAACTCCCAGAATTCAAAAACAGCTTCCCCTCAACCCCACCAGTATTGAATGTTGGCCATGTAGGTATTGTGCCAAGTTTGGTGCAGATCCATTGTGGGTTGGGTTCAGAGTGCTCTTTGATTGTAGCTGAATTATAAATCCCAGTAACTACAACTCCCAAATGTCAAGGTCTATTTCCCCCAAATTCCACCAGTGTTCACATTTGGGGATATTGGATATTCATGCCAAGTTTGGTCCAGATCCATCATTGTTTGAGTCCACAGTGCTGTCTGGATGTAGATGAACTACAACTCCCAAACTCAAGGTCAATGCCCACTAAACCCTTCTAGTATTTTCTGATGGTCATGGGAGTCCTGTGTGCCACGTTTGGTTCAATTCCATCCACCCTTTGTGGGAGATAGAGCGGAATATAAATAAAGTATTATTATTATTATTATTATTATTATTATTCATCATTGGTGGAGTTCAGAATGCTCTTTGATTGTAGGTGAACTATAAATCCCAGCAACTACAACTCCCAAATGTCAAGATTCTATTTTCCCCAAACTCCACCAGTGTTCCTAGTTGGGCATATTGAGTATTCATGCCAAGTTTGGTTCAGATTCATCATTGTTTGAGTCCACAGTGCTCTCTGGATGTGGGTGAACTACAACTCCCAAACTCAAGGTCAGTGCCCACCAAACCCTTCTAGTATTTTCTGTTGGTCATGGGAGTCCTGTGTGCCACGTTTGGTTCAATTCCATCCACCCTTTAGGGGAGATAGAGCAGAATATAAATAAAGTATTATTATTACTATTATTATTATTATCATCATCATTATCATTGGTGGAGTTCAGAATGCTCTTTGATTGAAAGTGAACTATACATCCCAACAACCACAACTCCCAAATGACCAAAGGAAGTGTATTCAGGGGTCGCAGTGTTAGGAATGTTGTGAAACTCTGTTGTAGAGGCCTTGTTTGCATTGGCTCCCTGCTCTCTCTCTTTTCTCTCTCTCTCTGCCTTTACCAGGTTGCCAAGCGTGCTGCGGCCAGCCAGCCGGACGCGGCCGATGTGGCGGAGCGAGCGGAGAAGTTCCGGCAGAAGTATTGGCATAAGCTCCAGACGCTGCGGCAACAACCCTTGTAAGTCTGGGGTCGAGGGCCCTCGGATCCTGGGGTTGGAAGGGCCCCCAAGGGACACCCAGTGCTCCCCGCTTCTTCATGCCAGGCAGGCAAAACACCATCAGTCCTCCTCAACAGATGGCCATCCAGCCTCTGCTTTCAAATCTCCAGAGGGGCCCCCATCACACTCCAAGGAAGCGTATTCCACTATAACAACAACAACAACAACAATAACAACAACAATAATCTATATATATATATAAATGCTCTGTGCATAATGAGTTCCTTAAAAACAAAAGAACCAATGAACGAAATCACACCAAATTTGGCCACAAAACGTCTCACAACACAAGGAGTCACCATCACTCAAAAAATGATGATTTTGTCATTTGGGAGTTGTAGTTGCTGGGATTTATAGTTCATCTATAATCAAAGAGCATTCTGAACTCCATCAACGATGGAATTGAACCAAACTTGGCACACAGAACTCCCGTGACCAACAGAATATACTGGAAGGGTTTGGTGGACACTGACCTTGAGTTTGGGAGTTGTAGTTCACCTACATCCAGAGAGCACTGTGGACTCAAACAATGATGGATCTGGACCAAACCTGGCAAGAATACTCAGTCTGCCCAAAAGTGAACACTGGTAGAGTTTGGGGAAATTAGACCTTGACACTTGGGAGTTGCAGTTGCTGGGATTTATAGTTCACCTATAATCAAAGAGCATTCTGAACTCCACCAATGATGGAATTGAACCAAACTTGGCACACAGGCTTCCCATGACCAGCAGAATATACTAGAAGGGTGTGGTGGGCATTGACCTTCAGTTTGGGAGTTGTAGTTCACCTACATCCAAAGAGCACTGTGGACTCAAACAATGATGGATCTGCACCAAACTTGGCACAAGCACTCAATACGCCCAAATATGAACATGAAGATGGAGTTTGGGTGAAATAGACCTTGACATTTGGGAGTTGTAGTCACTGGGATTCACAGTTCACCTATAATCAAAGAGCATTCTGAACCCCACAAACGACAGAATCTGAGCAATCTTCCCACACAGAACCCCCATGACCATCAGAAAATACTTAAGGCCATCCAATCCAACTCCCTTATTCACCAGGGCAAGAAAACGTAATCAAAGTCCTCCTGACAAAGAGCCACCCAGCCATCAAGAGAGATAGATGGATGGATAGATAGATAGATACTGATCTGATTCACACACTCACAGATATGGTATCCTAGATTTGAAAGGGACCCTTAAAGAAGGACTATGATATCCTGCATGTTCCAGGGTGGGCAAACCGGACACTCTCCACATCAACACTGGCAAAGAAACAGCAAGACATACTGTTTGCCCACAAGCAGAAAGACATGACATACATTAGAAACCAACACTTTCTCATTACTTTATTTTCCAGATCACCAGACTGGGCCACAGCAACGCCTGGCAGGGGACCGCTAGTGTAATAATAATAATAATAATAATAATAATAATAATAATAACAAAACAAATACAAAGCAATTTTTTTTGGTTGTGTCAGGAGCAACTTGAGAAACCGCAAGTTGCTCCTGGTGTGAGAGAACTGGCCGTCTGCAAGGACGTTGCCCAGGGGACTTTGCCCGGATGTTTTGATGTTTTGACCATCCTTGTGGGAGGCTTCTCTCATGTCCCCTTCGCATGAGGAGCTGGAGCTGATAGAGGGAGCTCATCCGCCTCTCCCCGGATTCGAACCTGCGACCTGTCGGTCTTCAGTCCTGCCGGCACAGGGGTTGAACCCACTGCGCCCCCGGGGGATCCATACAAAGCAATAATAAAACAGGAATTGCATGTGACATCTGTAGACAGTCCATGTTTCGCAGGCAGAGAGTTGGGAGGACAATCTATATAAATAAAAATTGAATGTTTCGTTCGTGGGATTAGCAGAACTCAAAAACCGCTGGATGAATTGACACCAAATTTGGACACAAGACACCTCACAACCCAATGTACATCCTTCACTCAAAAAATAGATTTTGTCATTTGGGAGTTGTAGTTGCTGGGATTTATAGTTCACCTACAATCAAAGGGCATTCTGAACCCCACCAACAATGGAATTGAACCAAACTTGGCAGACAGTTCTCCCATGACCAACAGAAAATACTGGAAGGGTTTGGTGGGCATTGGCCTTGAGTTTGGGAGTTGTAGTTCACCTACATCCAGAGAGCACCGTGGACTCAAACAATGATGGATATGGACCAAGCTTGGCAGGAATACTCAATATGCCCAAATATGAACACTGGTGCGGTTTGGGGAAAACAGAATCTTGACATTTGGGAGTTGTAGTTGCTGGGATGTATAGTTCAGCTACAATCAAAGAGCATTCTGAACTCCACTAATGATGGAATTGAAGCAAACTTGGCACACAGTTCTCCCATGACCAACAGAAAATACTGGAACGGTTTGGTGGGCATTGACCTTGAGTTTGGGAGTTGTAGTTCACCTACATCCAGAGAGCACTGTGGACTCAAACCATGATGGATTTGGACCAAACTTGGCATGAATACTCCATATGCCCAAATGTGAACACTGGTGGAGTTTGGGGAAAACAATCTTGACATTTGGGGGTTGTAGTTGCTGGGATGTATAGTTCAGCTACAATCATAGAGCATTCTGAACCCCACCAATGAGAGAATTGGGCCAAACCTCCCACACAGAACAGTCATGAGGGCCACAGCAATGCATGGCAGGGGACAGGTAGTAGCTTTATAAACAAGTATTATTCCAGATGAGTCCCCGGTGGCGCAGTGGGTTAAACTCCCCCTGTGCCAGCAGGACTGAAGACCCAACAGGTTGCAGGTTCAAATCTGGGTAGAGGCAGGTGAGCTCTCTCTATCAGCTCCAGCTCCTCATAATGTCCAGCATTATTTTTTAAATTTTAAATTATTGCATTTGGCCCAGCCATAGGTTTTAAATGCTTGTTGTTATTGTTACTGTTTATTGTTTACTTTTGTTTATGAGATTTACTTTAACTGTTGTATTGATTGTTTTCTTGTTGCTTTTACTGTTGAGGGGTTGATCACCTGTTGATCACCCCCATTTGTCAGGGGTGATTTGAAAGGGGTGGTTTGAATGCAATATTCCTGCTTCTTGGCAGAATGGGGTTGGACTGGATGGCCCATGAGGTCTCTTCCAACTCTTTGATTCTAGGATTCTAGGAGAGGCTGGATGGCCATCTGTCAGGGATGTTTTGAATGCGATTGCCCTGCTTCTTGGCAGAATGGGGTTGGACTGGATGGCCCATGAGGTCTCTTCCAACTCTTTGATTCTAGGATTCTAGGATTCTATGTACTTTGGGCTCGGCCTCATGTAAGCTGCACCGAGTCCCTTGGGGAGATGGGAGCGGGGTATAAATAAAGTTGTTGTTGTTATTATTAGTAGTATTAGTATTATTATTAGTAGTAGTATTATTATGTGTGGACATGTGTCGCGACCCACAGAACACAGATTGTCTTAAACAGCAATTGAGATGCAAATAATAGTCTGCTTCTGCATCACTCCTTCTTCTTCTCCTACTACTAGTAGTAGGTATGGTGCCAGAATGCTGAGTCTCAACAACATGAGATAAGCTTCCCACTGGCGTCCACTGGGCAACGTCCTTGCAGACGGCCTATTCTCTCACACCGGAAGCAACTTGCAGTTTCTCAAGTCGCTCCTGACACAACAAAAATAAATAAATCCAGATGAGGTCTGGCTGAAGCAGAATACAGCAGGGACTACAACTTCCCTCAATCTCGACACTATCTTCCTCTTAACGAAGCTGAGAATTGCATTGGCCTTTTTCGCTGCCGCATCACGCTCTCGCCTCGCGTTCAGCTTGTGCTCGACTAAAGGCTCCCGGATCCCAGGACTGTTTCCAAGCCATCCTGTCCTTGTGCTTCCTTTTCAGCGCTTACGGCACCTTGACCGTTCGGAGTTTGTTGGATACGAGAGAACACTGTTTGAATGAGTTCAACTTCCCCGACCCCTACTCCAAGGTGGGTTGTCTTCTCCTCATTCATGGCTTCGTGCCGTTTGGCCTAATTTCCCATCCGTGTCGTAACTTCCGTTCGCAAGGGAGCTTAGAGACGCCTCGTGTTGTGGGTTGGAAGGCGGAAGGCGGTCTTTCCATCCAGATCATTAAGGTTTCCAGCTTTTATTATCTATTTATCATTTATGACATTTTTATTTATTTAAAACTTTTCTATCCCGATCTTATCGACCTCCGCGGAGGGACTCTGGCCGGCTGACAGCAAGGATTCAATGCTACTAGGGCAGTGATGGGCAACCTTTTGAGCTTGGTGTGTCAAAATTTCATAGAATAGAATCATAGAATCATAGAATCAAAGAGTTGGAAGAGACCTCCTGGGCCATCATCCAGTCCAACCCCATTCTGCCAAGAAGCAGGAATATTGCATTCAAATCACCCCTGACAGATGGCCATCCAGCCTCTGCTTAAAAGCCTCCAAAGAAGGAGCCTCCACCACACTCCCTCCGGGGAAGGCAGAGAGTTCCACTGCTGAACGGCTCTCACAGTCAGGAAGTTCTTCCTCATGTTCAGGTGGAATCTCCTCTCTTGTAGTTTGAAGCCATTGTTCCATTGCGTCCTAGGTTGCCAAGACACAAGTGTGTGCTTTCCCCCCACGAAACCGTGAAGCCAACAGGAAATTGAAAGTCACCTGGGAAGGTCAAGAGCTTGAACACAGTTTCCATCCTAAATATCTCAGTGTCACCTTAGATCGAAGACTAGCAGATAGGAAACACTGCTTGAACACCAAGCACAGAGTAGCTGCACGCAATAACACCCTGCGGAAACTGACAGGCAGCACATGGGATACAGACCCACAATTAGTAAGAACATCAGCCCTGGCCTTGTCTGACTCAACTGCCGAGTGTGCCTGCCCAGTTTGGCGTAAGTCTGCCCATGCAAAGCAGGTGAACAGAGCATTGAATGAAACATGCAGAATAATCACGGGATGTCTTAAACCTACACCTGTTGATAAACGTAATGGTAGTGCATAGGGTACAGACCCACAATTAGTAAGAACATCAGCCCTGGCCTTGTCTGACTCAACTGCCAAGTGTGCCTGCCCTGTTTGGCGTAAGTCTGCCCATGCAAAGCAGGTGAACAGAGCATTGAATGAAACATGCAGAATAATCACAGGATGTCTTAAACCTATACCTGTTGATAAACGTAATGGTAGTGCATAGGGTGCAGACCCAAAATTAGTAAGAACATCAGCCCTGGCCTTGTCTGACTCAACTGCCCAGTATGTCCGCCCTGTTTGGCACAAGTCTGCCCACGCAAAGCAAGTGAACATAGCATTGAATGAAACATGCAGAATAACCACAGGATGTCTTAAACCTACACCTGTTGATAAACTTAATGATAGTGCATAGGGTACGGCTCTCACAGTCAGGAAATTCTTCCTCATGTTCAGATGGAATCTCCTCTCTTGTCGTTTGAAGCCATTGTTCCGCATCCTAGGTTGCCAAAAACCTGAGCATATCTTGGGTGGGGTGTCAACTTCGAGAAAAAAAAACCCATAATTTTGCAATATTTATAGTTTCAATAAGAAAAATGTATATTCCATGCTGAGTTATGGAGTGGACAATGGCCAAACGTGCAGATGTTACATTTGTGGAGCCTTCTACAAATTTAAGGATGGAATTAGATTGGCTCTTATACGGTGTATTTCTCTGTATGTGGCCGCATGTGGCTGCGTGTCAGTGCTGACACGCGTGTCATAGGTTCACCATCACAGTACTAGGACAAGTTAAAATATCATACAGCAATACAAGATTAAAATACATATAGATAAAAGACATATATATATACCAAATCACCAAGGTCAAATCACGTTCAGCTCAGTCCGCATATGTGGTCGCTCACTGTGGTCTGCAACCACTCTCAGCCATTATTCTGGAAACGCTTCGTTCCATAACCAGGATTTCACTGGTTTCCCGAAGTACAAGAGGGAGGGGGCAGATCTAATCTCGCTCGGGAGAGAGTTCCATAGCCGAGGGGCCACCACAGAGAAGGCCCTGTCTCTCGTCCCCACCAAACGCGCTTACCCCAAGGCAGTGTTCTTGCACCGATCTTGTTTCATATCTTTACTAACAATCAGCCACAACCACCACTCACAAAGAGCTTTCTATATGCTGATGACTTGGCCTAACAACACAAGCAAAAGACTTTGAGACAGTTGAAATCCAACTTCCTAATGCCTTGAAAGATCTCTCCAGCTACTCCAAAGATAACCACCTGGAGCCTAACCCTGCCAAGACACAAGTGTGTGCTTTCCCCCCACGAAACCATGAAGCCAACAGGAAATTGAAAGTCACCTGGGAAGGTCAAGAGCTTGAACGTTGTTTCCATCCTAAATATCTCGGTGCCATCTTAGATAAAACACTAGCAGATAGGAAACACTGCTTGAACACCAAGCACAGAGTAGCTGCACACAGTAACATCCTGCGGAAACATACTGGCAGCACATGGGGTGCAGACCCACAATTAGTAAGAACATCAGCCCTGGCCTTGTCTGACTCCACTGCCCAGTATGTCCGCCCTGTTCAGCATAAGTCTGCCCACGCAAAGCAGGTGAACATAGCATTGAACGAAACATGCGGAATAATCACAGGATGTCTTAAACCTATACCTGTTGATAATGGTAGTGCATAGGGTGCAGACCCAAAATTAGTAAGAACATCAGCCCTGGCCTTGTCTGACTCCACTGCCCAGTATGCCTGCCCTGTTCAGCATAAGTCTGCCCATGCAAAGCAGGTGAACATAGCATTGAACGAAACATGCAGAATAATCACAGGATGTCTTAAACCTATACCTGTTGATAAACGTAATGGTAGCGCATAGGGTGCAGACCCAAAATTAGTAAGAACATCAGCCCTGGCCTTGTCTGACTCCACTGCCCAGTATGTCCGCCCTGTTCAGCATAAGTCTGCCCACGCAAAGCAGGTGAACAGAGCATTGAAAGAAACATGCAGAATAATCACAGGATGTCTTAAACCTAGATATGTTGATAAACGTAATGGTAGCGCATAGGGTGCAGACCCAAAATTAGTAAGAACATCAGCCCTGGCCTTGTCTGACTCAACTGCCCAGTATGCCTGCCCTGTTTGCCGTAAGTCTGCCCATGGAAAGCAGGTGAACACGGCATTGAATGAAACATGCAGAATAATCACAGGATGTCTTAAACCTACACCTGTTGATAAACTTGGCAAGCTAGCTGGCATTGCAACCCCCCCCCCCCACCGCCCCAAACAACACAAGCAAAAGACTTTGAAACAGTTGAAATCCAGCTTCCTTTTGCCCTGAAAGATCTCTCCAGTTACTCCAAAGATAACCACCTGGAGCCTAACCCTGCCAAGACACAATGGCACGACCTGAAAGAATCCCACACCTTGTGTGATTGTGGAGCAGAACAGACAACTCCGCATCTGTATGCTTGTCCACTGTGCCCTGCCTCATGTACAATGGAAGTGTTGTTGGAGGCTGCAGACAATGTTGTTGCTGTTGCCCGTTTTTGGTCAAAAGATATTTAGCCGCCCGCACCTTCTATTTTTTTATCAGTTTAAAATAATTCATGCAATGCTTTGGATACAAAATAAATAAAATAACCAGGAAGAGAAAACTTTTCAAATTTTGTTGCATAGTGTTATTGTGAGAATTATGAAGTTATGTTTGGGCGGGGAGATGGTGCGTTGCGATGTTGCAAAAGTGCCACGAGGCTGACGTTTGCGTGGCCAGTGAGAGGCTCTGCCTCAGCCAAGGGACCGTGGGAGCGAGTCTGTTGGCAAAGGAGTAACTCTGTTCTTTCTTCTCAAACATGTTGTCTCTCTCGCAGGTAAAGCAGAAAGAAAATGGCATAGCTTTAAAATGTTATCAGAGTGTAATTGAATCTCTGGATTCATTAGGTTGGGAGGAGAGGCAGTTTGCCCTGGTCAAAGGGCTGCTCGCCGGAAACGTCTTCGACTGGGGGGCCAAAGCCGTCTCCGAGTAAGTACCACCGGCACTCTTGGCAAACCTCCTGTCACGTTGCCTTCGGTCTCCTCTGTCCTCAGGGCTCGGGATTTGCGTTTACTACTCCTTGTTCCCCCTCCCAAAGAATCATGTGTTGACTAATCACCATCAGTGCATAGATAACAACAACAACAAAAACAACAACAATATAGTACAATTATAATATTATAATAGTAATAGTAGTAGTAGTAATAGTAGTAGTAGTAAAGGTGATCCCAGTGGTGATTGGGTGCTAATAATAATAATAATAATAATAATAATAATAATAATAATAGTAATAGTAATAGTAATAGTAATAGTAATAGTAATATAACAACAACAACAACAAAACAACAACAATAATATAGTACAATTATAATATTATAATAGTATAATAATAATAATTCATCATAATAATAATAATTCAGGCAGACAGAGTTTTGGAAATCAAACTGCAAAGACTCTGGCACAAGCCAGTCAAGATGGTCCCAGTGGTGATGGGCACACTGGGTGCAGTGCCTCAAGACCTTGGCCTGCACTTAAACACAACTGGCACTGACAAAATTACCACCTGCCAGCTGCAAAAGGCCACCTTACTGGGATCTGCATGCATTATTTGCCAATACATCACACAGTCCTAGACACTTGGGAAGTGTTCGATGTGTGATCCAATACAACAGACAGAAGAGTTTCTGCTGTGGACTCATCTTGATGTGTTTCAATTAATAATAATAATAATAATAATAATAATAATAATAATAATAATAATAATACATCACACAGTCCTAGACTTGGGAAGGGTCCGACGTGTGATCCAATACAACAGCCAGCAGAGTGTCTGCTGTGGACTCATCTTGTGGTGTTTCTAGTAGTAGTAGTAGTAGTAGTAGTAGTAGTAGTAGTAATAGACACTTGGGAAGTGTCCGACGTGTGATCCAATACAACAGCCCGCAGAGTGTCTGCTGTGGACTCATCTTGTTGTGTTAACAATAATAATAATAATAATAATAATAATAATAATAATAATAATAATTGCAATAATAACAACAGTCCTAGACGCTTGGGAAGTGTCCGACATGTGATCCGATACAACAGCCAGCAGAGTTTCTGCTGTGGACTAATTTTGTTGTGTTTCTAATAATAATAATAATAATAATAATAATAATAATAATAATAATAGTCCTAGACACTTGGGAAGTGTTCAACGTGTGATCCAATACAACAGCCAGCAGAGTGTCTGCTGTGGACTCATCTTGTTGTGTTTCTAATAATAATAATAATAATAATAATAATAATAATAATGATAATAGTCCTAGACACTTGGGAAGTGTCCGAGGTGTGATCCAATACAACAGCCAGCAGAATTTCTGCTGTGGACTCATCTTGTTGTGTTTCTAATAATAAATAATAATAATAATAATAATAATAATAATAATAATAATAGACACTTGGGAAGTGTCCGACGTGTGATCCAATACAACAGCCTGCAGAGTGTCTGCTGTGGACTCATCTTGTGGTTTTTCAAATAATACAAGGGGTATTTTTTAAGTAAGGTCCGTTTTGTTGTAGACACTAGTAGTTTGCGCGCATACCAGGAGATGCATTGGATTGTTATTGATGTGCGAATATTGTGTATCATGCTTTTATGGTTTTAAATTGTATACTGTTGATTGTTGTATTTTGTTGTAAACCGCGTTGAGTCGCCGGCTAGGCTGAGAAACAGCGGTATACAAGTATAGCAAATAAATAAATACCGCAAGGAGCGCGTGCGTGGTGTACCGGCATGCCTGGGGAACAACTCAGGTGCTCAGTTTCCGCTCTGTAGCTCACCTGTACGGTTCTGTTCTGTGCTTTAGAAATGTTTAAGACTCTCAACTCCCCCTCCGCATGTGAGGTTCGCTCAGTGATACGGTTTCTGTCAGCAAGGAACCTGCCTGCTGCAGAAATCCATCGACAGATTTGTGAAGAATTCAAAGATGGCCGTGACAACGTCCATGATGAGGACCGCTCCGGTCGCCCTTCTTTGATTACAGACAATTTGGTGGCTTCAGTTGAAGCAAGGATTCGTGAGAACAGGCGCTTCACAATAACAATAATAAAAATCTTTGAATTGTCGTACCCACTTACGCACTTTGCTTTCACTCATAACAGTGTCACCGTACACTTCACAAATCTGTCGCACAGTTGAGCACAGTTGTTCCCGAGGCATGCCGGTACATGACGCACACTCTCGTTGCGGTATGCGCGCAAACTACTAGTGTCTACAACAAAACGGACCTTACTTAAAAAATACAAATACCCCTCATAATGATGATTATGATAACAATAATAATATCTCTTTTCCTAACAGTATGTTTGTATCCTCTCTCCTTTTCTGCACCAGTGTTCTTGAAACAGAGCCACAGTTTGGTTTCGAAGAAGCGAAGGAGAAATTGCAAGGTACTTGGATGGAAATGCAGCTTCGTGGAAGGGTTAATGGGTGCCGCAAATGCCAATCGAGAGGCAGAGGTCTATGGCTTTTGGAGGATAGTCGTCTAAAACAATCCTCGTAAAGTAAACACCCGCCCCCCCCGGGCAATGACTTTGGGGCCCTCCATCACTCCCAGTTCTCTGCTGAGTTGCGGGGAGATGTTTTGTGGGTTGTGACAACGTTTTGGTCATGTGACGCTTTCTTCTCCCATTGCGCAGAACGCCCCTGGCTGGAGGATTCCTACCACGAATGGCTGGAGCGGCTTAAGGTACGTACGGTTGGTCCCTTTGGGATGTTGACGGTGCCCATGAAATCGTCGACATATACGATTTCAGATTTTTATATCAATGGCGATCAAAGCTCATGGGACAAGGATACGGAAGGAAACACCTTTTGAGAATAATAAACAGGATCTTGACATAATAATTAGTAAAACAGGTACTGGTAGTAGTTGTAGGCCGGGCTTTACCACCGGGACTGTGGTGCCGATGCATTAAGATCACTACTGACCGAAAGGTCATGAGTTCGAAGCCAGCCCGGGTCGGAGTGAGCTTCTGACCAATTTGTGTACCTTGCTGTCAACCTTTGCAGCCTGAAAGGCAGTAGGAAATTTAGGTACTGCTTATGCGGGGAGGCTAATTTCATTTACGAGGCCATAAACATTTCCAGCAAGTATGCAAAGAATGAGGAAGTACTTCGTCAATGTCTCAAATGGATGGTGAAGCGACAGCTCCCCTGGTGGCCAGAAGCTGGAATGTGAAATAGCCTCTGTGTGTCTGTCTCTGTGTGTTGTGTGTCTATGGCATTGAATGTTTGCCATGTATATGTGCATTGTAATCTGTCCTGAGTCCCTGCGGGGTGAGAAGGGCAGAATATAAATACTGTAAATATTGAAAGGTTGATACTTCAAAGCCCAGGTTAGAGTGAGCTCGTGGTCTTCAGCCCAGCTTCTGCCTACCTAGCAGTTTCACAAACCGCAATGTGAGTAAATAAAATATATTCTGCTTAAGCGGGGGAAGTATTTTTAAAGGCGCCCATAAGGAAATGCCAGAAAAATGCTGGCCATTCGCTCCAGGAGGAAGTTTACAACCAAAGCTTTTCAGCAGGGAAGATTGAGCGACAGCACCCCCCAGTGGCTAGAACCGAGCACAGCCTCCAAAATGTCGAAGATGGGAAAGCCTATATTTACCTCCATCTGTGTACAATAAGTAACCCCCAGCGGCGCAGTGCGTTAAATCGCTGAGTTGCTGAACTTGCTGACCGAAAGGTCGTTGGTTCGAATCCGAGGAGTGGGGGTGAGCTCCCGATGTTAGCCCCAGCTCTTGCCAACCTAGCAGTTCGAAAACATGGAAGTGTGGGAGTAGATCAATAGTGGCGTAGGAAGGTAACAGCGCTCCACGCAGTCATGCTGACCACATGACCTTGGAGGCGTCTACGGACAACACCGACTCTTTGGCTTAGAATAGGGAAATGAACACCACCCCCCAGAGTCCGACACAACTAGACTTAATGTCAAGGGGAAACCTTTACTTATGTACAGGTGTCTGTCTTCTCATTGAATGTTTGCCGTATATGTGTTCTGTACTCAACTCTGAGTCCCCTTCGGGGTCAGAAGGGCAGAATAAACATGAATAAATAAATAAATAAATAAATAATAGTAGTAGTAGTAGAGGTAAATATATTATATATTTTATATTGCATGTAATATTGCTAAAAATATTACCATATAATGATTTAGTACAGCGTTTCTCAACCTGGGGGTCGGGACCCCTGAGGGGGCCGTGAGGAAGTTCCAGAGGGGTCACCAAAGACCATCAGAAAATACAGTCTTTTCTTTTGGTCATGAGGGTTCTGTGTGGGAAGTTTGGCCCCCTTCTATCATTTGGTGGGGTTCAGAATGCTCTTTGATTGTAGGTGAACTATAAATCCCAGCAACTACAACTCCCAAACATCAAGGTATATTTTCCCCAAACTCCACCAGTGTTCACATGTGGTCATAATGAGTATCCGTGCCAAGTTTGGTCCAGATCCATCATTGTTTGAGTCCACAGTGCTCTCTGGATGTAGGTGAACTACAACTCCAAGAGTCAAGGTCAATGCCCACCAAACACTTCCAGTATTTCCAGTTGGTCATGAGAGTTCTGTCTGCCAAGTTTGGTTCAATTCCATCATTGGTGGAGTTCTGAGTGCTCTTTGATTGAAGATTAACTATAAATCCCAGCAACTACAACTCTCAATTGACAAAATCAATCCCCCCAACCCCACCAGTATTCAAATTGGGGTGTTTCAGGTATTTGTGCCAAATTTGGTCTAGTGAATGAAAAAAAACCTGCATATCAGATATTTACATTACGATTCATAACAATAGCAAAATTACTGTTATGAAGTAGCAACAAAAATAACGTCATGGCTGGGGGTCACCACAACATGAGAAACTGTATTAAGGGGTCGCGGCATTAGGAAGGTTGAGAAACACTGATTTAGTACAATATAGTAATATATAATACTGATATTGTGCTATACTAATAATATAATATAATATATAGTAATAATAATATGATACTATAATTATATATTTATATTACATGTAATATTACTAATATTACAATATAATGATATAGTACAATATAGTAATATATAATACTGATTTTGTACTAAGCTAATAATATAATATATTGTATGTATATATATATATATCTTGTAAGCCGCTCTGAGTACCCTTCAGGGTCAGAAGGGCAGAATATACATACATAAATAAATAAATAAATAAATAAATAAATAAATAGTAGTAGTAGAGGTAAAGTAAATATATTATATAGTACAATATAGTAATATATAATACTGATATTGTGCTATGCTACTAATATAATATATTGTGTATCAGGGTGAGAAGGGCGGCATATCAATGTCGTAAACAAACAAACAAATAACTAAACAAAACTAGTTTTCTAAACAACACTGGCCATAGAAACATTCCCATCGTTTAATATTCGAGGAAATGACAGAAAGACAATGCTTAGTTTATGCTGCTGTATAATCCAGATTATCTGCTTTGAACTGGATTATATGAGTCTACACTGCCAGTTCAAAGCAGATAATCTGGATTTTATATGGCGTAGATGGGGCCTTACTTGGCCTTTTAGCAACCAGCTCGAATGGAAACTGTTTTGAATGCATTATTTCCTGTGAATTTCCTTCACAGCTTTCTCACGTAAAACTCAGGCTTAGCTTCTCACTCTTAATGCAGTGTTGCCTGAACTGAGCTTAAGGTAAACAACTTGTTGTTTAATAGACACCCATGAAATCATTCCGTTTCCCATGAATTTCCTTCACAGCTTTCCCATGTAAAACTCAGGCTTAGCTTCTCACTCTTAACGCAGTGTTGCCTGAACTGAACTTAAGGTAAACAACTGGAAAGAGTTGCAGGAAACTGGAAAGAGTTATAGCAGATGCAACAAAACTGCGCCTTGTTGGTTTTTTCTCTCCTTGTTTCTTGTATTTTCTGGAATCGTGCTATGTGATGACAGTTTTAAGAGGAAAGGGCCACATCTGGCTGGAAAAGACCCCGTTTTCTATATGTAGCTGTTATCTTTGTACAGTATATGCTGCTATGGCAGTCGGGGAGGGTAGTGATCACGTTGAGCCTGCATACATACCTAACGGGGACCTTCACACTGAGATTTCTTCTCGTTTCTCCCTCTCCGCAGGCCCCTCCTCATAAATGTGCCTTAATTTTTGCCGACAACAGCGGCATCGACATCATTTTGGGCGTTTTCCCTTTTGTCCGGGAGCTGCTGTTGAGGGGAACTGAGGTCAGTGGCATCACAAGCCCATTTGCATCTAATTTGAATTGGAAAACGCAGCTGCAAAGCTCTGGAACGTATTCCAATTATGGTTTGCGATTCCTTAGCCATTGTTGTGCAACACCTATGACGATCGCGCCACACAAGAGTCCAGGAATAAAGAACACCATTTATTGTAAAAACATATTTTAAAAAGCATTTTAAAAATCAGGAATAAGAAAAGAAGATAAATAATCCCAAAAGGTTTGGCAACAGGCGATAAACTGAAAATAATCCAAACGTCCAGAGGTGACAAAGTCCAGGAACAGCCAGAAATCACAGGTACAGCATAAGTGCACAACCCAGAAGGTATAACTAGTAAAACTTGAACAAGAGTACATGAGTAAGAACATAGAAAACTTCCAGGATATTAAATCCAAAATCAAAGCTTGACTTGAACCAGAAGCAAGAGAACTCAGGCTTCGCTTCTCACTCTAACGCAGCGTTGCCTGAACTGAGCTTAAGGCAAACAACTTGTTTAATAGACACCCATGAAATCATTATGTTCCCCATGAATTTCCTTCAGAACTTTCCCACGTAAAACTCAGGTTTGGTTCTTACTTTAATGCAGCATTGCCTGAACTGAGCTTAAGGTAAACAACTTGTTTAATAGACAGCCATGAAATTATTCCGTTTCCCGTGAATTTTCTTCACAACTTTGCCACGTAAAACTCAGGCTTAGCTTCTTACTTTAATGCAGCATTGCCTGAACTGACCTTAAGGTAAACAACTTGTTGCTTAATAGACACCCCTGAAATCATTCTATTTCCTGTAAATTTCCTTCACAGCTTTCCCACGTAAAACTCAGGCTTAGATTCTCACTCTAACGCAGTGTTGCCTGAACTGACCTTAAGGTAAACAACTTGTTGCTTAATAGACACCCCTGAAATCATTCTATTTCCTGTAGATTTCCTTCACAGCTTTCCCACGTAAAACTCAGGCTTAGCTTCTCACTCTAACGCAGTGTTGCCTGAACTGACCTTAAGGTAAACAACTTGTTGCTTAATAGATACCCCTGAAATCATTCTATTTCCTGTAGATTTCCTTCACAGCTTTCCCATGTAAAACTCAGGCTTAGCTTCTTACTCTAACACAGTGTTGCCTGAACTGAACTTAAGGTAAACAACTTATTGTTTAATAGGCACCCATGAAATCATTCAGTTTCCCGGAATGCTGTGTTTGAGTCAGTCTTAGCTTCTGACTCTAACACGGCATTGCCTGAACTGAACTTAAGGTAAACAACTTGTTGCTTAATAGACACCCATGAAATCATTCTGTTTCCTGTGAATTTCCTTCACAACTTTCCCACGTAATCTTTCAGAATTACGCAATCTATTTTCAGTTCCATTTTGTCAATGAAGACTTTTGTGGATCTCTGTAGCTATAGGTGGTTCCTTCTGGGAACCCTCTTTATCACTCAAGTCTTCACTCGATTCCTTAACTGTGGTTGCTACTTTTGGCTCCCCTGAATGCCCTGGAGGCCTTGCACTTTCCGAGCATGTTTCCTCACATAGAGAACCATCATTTCCCAGACTTGATTTACCCAGACTTGAGAGCCCATCGCTTTGTGCCACAGGAAAGCTCCCAATCCTCTCTCAATCATCAGTTAAACCGTCAGCCTCTGGCTGATCTACAACAGCCTCCCTGTTTGGTAGGCCACATGGATCTCTCCAAAATGTTGATACGTTTTTTTCGACAGCGTTCTTCTCCGTGACCCGATATTTCCTTTCCCTTCTTATAGGTCATATTGGCCTGTAATTCAGGGCCGGCCCTGAATGACGTGACCTACAGCGAATCCCTGCTTGTGGCCGACAGGATCGCGGCAACTGATCCGGTCATACGGTGAGGAGCGGTTTGGTATGTTCTTCTTCTTTTGCGCTGTTAGGAGAGAATGTGAAAGTTAGAGATGTTCCACCTGAATGTGAGGAAGAATTTCCTGGCTGCGACAACCGTTCAGCAGTGGAACTCTCTGCTCCGGAATGTGGTAGAAGCTCCTTCCTTGGAAGCTTTTAAGCAGAGGCTGAATGGCCATCTGTCTGGGGTGCTTTGTGATTTTCTGTCAGGAGTCAATTTCTGACGGCATAAAGACATCACAAATTCCCTCCGTGACATCCTGACTGAATCATCCTGGCTGAATCAATTCTCTCTCTGTGACATTTTGAAGCCAGCAAAGGGCACTGGAAACCTTGTGTTGGAACTTGTGAAGCCACAAACTCTAATAAGGAAACTGAGAAGAGGGGGGACATGGGCAGGAAAGGTGTATAAAAGGAAGTGGTGGTGGGAAAAAGTCAGTAGTGTCTTTCTTTGCTGCAGAGATACAAGCAATATATCCATTTCAAAGCAAAACCGGCTTGTGAGTGGTTATTTAATATTGCTATATAGATCCTACAGTCTGACACATGCCCTTACTAAAGCAGCTCCACTGGCTCCTGAAAGGTTTCCAGGCCCAATTCAAAGTGCAGTTTATTACCTATTGAGCCCTATATGCTTCAGGTCCAACCTATCTTCGAGATCGCATCTCCCTCTATGAACCAGTGCGGGCCTTGAGGGAGATGGGCAGGAAGGGTGGATAAAAGGAAGTGGTGGTGGGGAAAAGTCCGGAGTGTCTTTCTTTGCTGCAGAGGTACAAGCAATATATCCATTTCAAAGCAAAACCGGCTTGTGAGTGGTTATTTAATATTGCTATACAGATCCTACAGTCTGACATTTTCCTGCTTCTTGGCAGAATGGGGTTGGACTGGATGGCCCACGAGGTCTCTTCCAACTCTAGGATTCTAGGATTTTGTGGCGGACCAAAAAAAAAAATCAGAACCACCCTTTCAGAATTGGATGATATTCCCAATACATTCCATGTTATGTGAATTGAACAGATGAAGGTTCAACCTATGACTCAAAGGCTTCGTTTCATTTCTCCATTAACTTCAGATCCATTGCTTTTAATAACTATTAATAACACTGTGTATTTTTTCTGTTCGTGGTTTGTAAGTGTTGTTTCTCATTTAGTTGTGTGGTACGTACTTTGAAAGCAGTTGTTCTACTCTAGAAACGTTGTTTTTCCTAAGATCTACAGGAAATTCATGGGAAATAGAATGATTTCATGGGTGTCTATTAAACAGCTGCCACAAACTATGTTAAGTTGGTCGTTTATTTATTTATCATATTTGACCAGAATCTGGCTCTGGTGTTGCTGTGAGAAGGTCCTCCCTTGTGCATCATGTGGCAGGGCTCAGGGTGCATTGCAGCAGCTGGTCAGTGGTTTGCTCTTCTCCACACTCGCATGTCGTGGACTCCACTTTGTGGCCCCATTTCTTGAGGTTGGCTCTGCATCTCGTGGCGCCAGAGCGCAGTCTGTTCAGCGTCTTCCAAGTCGCCCAGTCTTCTGTGTGCCCAGGGGGGGGAGTCTCTCATTGGGTATCAGGTTCTGGATTTGAGCCTGCCACTTTTGGACTCTCGCTTGCTGAGGTGTTCCAGCGAGTGTCTCCGTAGATCTTTTTCTAGATTTAAGTCATTGGCGTGCTGGCTGATACCCAAACAGGGGATGAGCTGGAGATGTCTCTGCCTTGGTCCTTTCACTATAGGCTGCTACTTCCCGGCGGATGTCAGGTGGAGCAATACCGGCTAAGCAGTGTAATTTCTCCAGTGGTGTGGGGCGCAGACACCCCGTGATAATGCGGCATGTCTCATTCAGAGCCACAACCACTGTTTGAGCGTGGTGAGATGTGTTCCACACTGGGCATATGTACTCAGCAGCAGAGTAGCACAGCGCAAGGGCAGATGCCGTCACTGTGTCTGGTTGTGATCCCCAGTTGTGCCAGTCAGCTTTCGTATGATATTGTTTCTAGCACCCACTTTTTGCTTGATGTTCAGGCAGTGCTTCTTGTAGGTCAGAGCACGGTCCAGAGTGACTCCCAGGGATTTGGGTGTGCTGCAATGCTCCCGTGGGATTCCTTCCCAGGTAATAATCCTCAGAGCTCGGGATGCTTGTCTGTTCTTAAGGTGAAAGGCACATGTCTGTGTTTTAGATAGATTAGGGATCAGCTGGTTTTCCCTGTAATAGGCAGTAAGAGCACCTAGAGCTTCGGAGAGATTCCTTTCGGCCATTTCAAAGCTCCCTGCGTGAGCGGTGATGGCACGATCATCAGCATAGATGGAACTCTTTGTCCTTTCTGGCAGTGGCTGGTCATTTGTGCAAATGTTAAACATGGATGGAGCAAGCACGCTCCCCTGAGGCGGGCCGTTCTTCTTCTGTTTCCGCCATCCGCCTCTCTCAATAGATACGAGGGTTGAATGAAAAGTAATGCCTCCACCTTCGTAACTCCTCAACAGTTGGCGGTACTGGTACGCGGCAGGTACAATAGGAAATGACATTTATAACCCAGGAACAAGAAGCATGTTATATCATGTAATAACTGTTTTTCGCACCCACTTCTCTTCCGAGGATGCACGGGCTGACGGCACCTTTCTTCCTTTAGATCCGCCTTGAAGGAAGAGAAGTTGCTCTTGGTGCAGACAGGCTCCAGCTCGCCCTGCTTGGACTTGAGGTAAGGCTTTTGCCAGTCGGATGTTTGTAACTGGGGGACTTGCCGTGACGGGCACCTGCCTCCGGCCGCCCCCTTGACCAGTGCCGGTTCTCCTTGCAGCCGCCTGGACAAAGGCCTGGCCAGCCTGGTCCGGGAGCGGAAGACGGACCTGGTGGTCATCGAAGGCATGGGCCGCGCCATCCACACCAACTACGAGGCGGCCCTGGACTGCGAGAGCCTCAAGCTGGCCGTCATCAAGAACTCCTGGCTGGCCGACCGCCTCGGAGGGAAGATCTTCAGCGTCATCTTCAAGTACGAGGTGCCCCTCAAATGAGACCCGGGCCCTCCTCCTCCTCGCCGCAACGGGACTTGCACTAGCTTCCTTTTAATTGTAAAGAATGTATTTTTATTACCGCACGGGGGGACGGGGGGGACGGGGGGGGCGGGGGTACGGATGGGGACGGGGAGTTGACTTCGCACCAACAATGGCATATTTATATTGTGCTAACTCACGCTGGCTCCTGCTTTCTTTTCTGGGCACGCCGCGTTTGCGACAGGAGGAGGGAAAGAACACTTCATGGGTTGCTGTGAGTTCCAGAAGCATTCTCTCCTGACGTTTCGCCCACGTCTACGGCAAGCATCCTCGGTGGTTGTGATGACTGTTGGAAAGGAGGAAAATGGGGTTGATATATATCTGTGAAATGATGTCCAGGGTGGGAGAAAGAGAGAACTCTTGTCTGCTTGAGGCAAGTGGGAATGTTGCCATTGCCCTCCTTGATTAGCATTGAATAGCCTTGCAGCTTCAAAGTCCGGCTGCTTCCTGCCTTTGTTGGAAGGTGTTAGCTGGCCCTGATTGTTTCCTGTCTGGAATTCCCATAGAATCATAGAGTTGGAAGAGACCTGCTGGGCCATCCAGCCCAACTCCATTCTGTGAGAGCCGTTCAGCACTGGAACTCTCTGCCCCAGAGTGTGGTGGAGGCTCCTTCTTTGGAAGATTTTAAGCTGGATGGTCATCTGTTGGGGGTGCTTTGAATGCAATATTCAAAGCACCCCCAACAGATGGCCATCCATCCTCTATTTAAAAGCTTCCAAAGAAGGAGCCTCCACCACACTCCCTCCGGGGCAGAGAGTTCCACTGCTGAACAGGTTTATCTCACAGTCAGGAAGTTCTTCCCCATGTTCAGATGGAATCTCCTTTCTTGTAGTTTGAAGCCATCGTTCCCTTGCGTCCTAGTCTCCAGGGAAGCAGAAAGGAAGCTTGCTCCCTCCTCATGACTTCCTCTCACGTATTTATCCATGGCCCTCATTATGTCTCCTCTCAGCCTTCTCTTCTGCAGGCTAAACATGCCCAGCTCTTTAAGCCACTCCTCATAGGGCTTGTTCTCCAGACCCTTGACCATTTTAGAGTGTTATTCTTTATTTACTGTCCTAATTTTAGAGTCTTTTTAATACTGGTAGCCAGATTTTGTTCATTTTCATGGTTCAAAAAACTCTAAAATCCAGGGTAGTAATTAAAGAGCAATACTCAAAAGGCAGGGGAAGAATTCTAGAGAAGAATCAATCAGGACCAGCTAACACCACCCAACAAAGGATTCCCCCAGGCAGGAAGCAGCCAGGCTTTGAAGCTACAAGGCCACTCAGTGCTAATCAAGGAGGCCAGTTGCAACATTCACACTTGCCTCAAGCAGACGAGAGTTCTTTCTTCCATCCTGGACATATTTTAACCCCATTTTCTATCTGTATGATAATAATAATAATAATAATAATAATAATAATAATAATCTTTATTTGTACCCCGCCAGCATCTCCCCAGAGGGGACTCGTAGCGGCTGACATGGGGCCAAGCCCGAACAAGAATTACAATATAACAATACAAACTGCAATCAAATAAACAACATAACATTAAAATATAAAACATCAAAGCATATAAAACAATATACACAAAACATAGGAACTAAGCCTAATGACAGAAAGACAAAGGGTGCATAAAATGATTTAAAAACTCCGGGTGAGCCAGGTTTTAAGGTTCTTTTTAAAGGTTTCTAAGGTGGGGGCTTTCCTAATCTCTCCAGGCAGTGAGTTCCAGAGTTGGGGGGCCACCGAGGAGAAGGCTCTCTCCCTTGTACCCACAAGGTGAGGCTGAGAGACTGGCAAAGGCGAAAGGAGGGCCTCGACCGAAGATCGAAAGGTACGGGCTGGTTCATGGAGAGAAATGCGGTCACGAAGGTAGGCAGGTCCCAAACCGCTTAGGGCTTTATTGGGACCTCGAATTGGGACCGGAAGATGAATGGCAGCCAATGGAGCTCCTTAAACAGGGGTTTGACCTCTCCCTGTAAGTCGCCCCAGTTATTAATCTGGCTGCCGAACGTTGGACCAGTTGTAGTTTGCGGGCCGTCTTCAAGGGTAGCCCCACGTAGAGAGCATTGCAGTAATCCAGTCTAGAGGTAACGAAGGCATGGACCACCATGGTCAAGTCAGATTTCATGAGGTATGGTCGCAGCTGGCGCCACCGCCGACACCTGCACATCAAGCGTCGGTGCTGAATCCAGGAGGACCCCCAAACTGTGGACCTACGACTTCAGGGGGAGCGCAACCCCATCCAGCACAGGTTGCCACCCAATACCCCGGTCAGCCGAGCGACTGACCTGGAGGACCTCTGTCTTGTCAGGATTCCTCCTCATCCAGATTGTCACAGGGACCAGGCACTGGTCCAATATCCTCAGGGCTTCCTTGGAGTCTGGTGGAAATGAGTAGTGGAGTTGGGTGTCATCTGCATAGAGGTGGCACCGCACTCCAAAACTCCGGGTGACCTCTCCCAGCGGTTTCATGAAGATGTTAAATAGCATGGGGGACAGAATGGTTCCTTGCGGGACCCCACAGGTCAATGGCCAGGGGTCTGAGCAGGAGTCACCCAGCTTCACCGACTGGGAACGACCCTCCAGGAAGGACCGGAGCCACAGGAGAACCGTGCCCCCGAGACCCATCCCAGTGAGCCTCCCCAGAAGGATACCATGGTGGATGGTATCGAAAGCCGCTGAGATGTCCAAGAGAACCAGCAGGGTCACACTCCCCCTGTCCAGTTCCCTGCAGAGGTCATCCACCAAGGCGACCAAAGCCGTCTCAGGACTGTGCCCAGGCCTAAAGCCAGACTGCGAGCGATCCAGAAAATCGGTGTGATGATGATGACGACGACGACGACTGGGGACCCTTTTGGACTCCCTATGATTTCATTATATTTATTATATTATTATATTATTATTATGGATATGTCATCAGCTGGAGACCCCTCCCCTCAGCACCAACTGCCTCTCTGGGCCAGAGTAAAGGGGGGGGGGCAGGGGACAGTTCCACCTTGTCTCCTGTGCTATGCTAATAATATAATAATAAGAGACAATAATAATATTAATAATAACAAGAGACCATAATAATAATAGTAATAATAATAGCACAATAATAATAAGAGACAATAATAATATTAATAATAACAAGAGACCATAATAATAATAATAATAATAATAATAATAATAATAATAATAGCACAATAATAAGAGACAATAATAATATTAATAATAAGAGAGCACAATAATAAGAGACCACAACAACAACAACAATAATAATAAGAGAGCACAAGAATAATAATATTAATAAGAGGCCACAATAATAATAGTGATAATAATAAGAGAGCACAATAATAATAAGAGACCACAACAACAATAATAATACTAAGAGAGCACAAGAATAATAATAATAATAAGAGACCACAATAGTAATAGGAGACCACAACAACAATATTAATAATACGAGAGCACAATAATAATATTAATGATAACAATAGAGCACAATAATAATAAGAGACAGTAATAATATTAATAAGAGAGCACAATAATAATATTAATAATAACAAGAGACCATAATAATAATAATAGTAATAATAATAAGAGCACAATAATAATAAGAGACAATAATAATATTAATAATAACAAGAGACCATAATAATAATAATAATAGTAATAATAATAATAAGAGACAATAATAATATTAATAATAAGAGAACACAATAATAATATTAATGATAACAAGAGACCATAATAATAATAGTAATAATAATAAGAGCACAATAATAATGAGACAATAATAATATTAATAATAACAAGAGACCATAATAATAATAATAGTAATAATAATAATAGCACAATAATAATGAGAGACAATAATAATATTAATAATAAGAGACCACAACAACAATATTAATAATACGAGAGCACAATAATAGTATTAATAATAACAAGACACCACAATAATAAGAAGAGATGATAATATTAATAATAGGAGAGCACAATAATAATAGACCACAACAACAATATTACTAAGTGACCACAATAATAATAGTAATAATATTAATAATAAGAAGAAGAGACCACAATAATAATAATAATAATAATAATAATAATAATAATAGTAGTAGTAGTAGTAGTAGTAGTAGTAGGGTTATATAATAATGTTGAATCATGGAATTAGAAGAGACTACCAGGCCTAGTCAATAATAATAATATTTGACAATGGAAAATAAAATTGGGAATTTAAGATATAAAGCAATGGAGATTCAACATCAAATTGAGAAAAAGGAGTGCAAAGGAAAAGGTTCCATTGAAATGAATGGAGCAAGTGGGAGGCTGCCATGTGCAGGAGCGGCCACTTGGGGGAGGCCGAGAGCAGGCCTCCGGAAGCCGGGCCATCAGCGGAATGATCATCGAGAGGGAGGGAGGGAGGGAGGGAGGGAGAGAGAGGCGCTGGAGGAACCTCTTCTCGGAGGGCCCTGCCCAGAGCGGTAGGAAGGTGGGTGTTCCTAGAGCGTCCCCGTGGCTCGGACTGAGGGGGAGGGGGGCGGGACTTCCTTTCCGCCTCTTCCGGAAATGGCTGCTCAGAAGAAGCAGGAAACCAGGAGTGGGTGACAGTAGGTATCCCTCGACATTGTATCAATGGAGGAAATAATGGTTCTACTTTAACAATGATTTATCAATTATTATTATTATTATCAACCACTTTCAATGTAAATGAGGGGTTTTGTGGGGGTTTCCCCCATATTTTCTTTCTCTTTTCCAAATATTATCTTCTTTCAACAAAACCTTAATAAAATATTATTTAAAATAATAATAATAATAATAAATATTATCTAAATACATAGAATCCTAGAATGAAAGAGTTGGAAGAGACCTGGTGGGCCCTCATCCAGTCCAAGCCCATTCTGCCAAGAAGCAGGAATATTGCACTCAAAGCACCCCTGACAGATGGCCAGCCAGCCTCCAAAGAAGGACCCTCCACCACACTCTGGGGCAAAGAGTTCCACTGCTGAACAGCTCTCACATAGAATCCAAGAGTTGGAAGAGCCCTCCTGGGCCCTCATCCAGTCCAAGCCCATTCTGCCA